TATGTTTTGAAAAAGATCTATGTAATGAAAAGGTGGTAATATAATAAAATTAGAAATTATTTTCTGAGAATTGGCATGTTTAAGTCACACCGAAAGATATAAAAAAAAGCTCATCGCATAATCAATATACTCAACACGTTTATTATTATAAAACAAAAAAAAAAGCTATTCTTCTTTTTCCTCCTCCTCTTCTCCTTCTTCTACTACTTCTTCTTGACTCTCATAATAATAGTACTATTTTAATGGCTAAAAAAAAGCACAAATACTGCCAATTACTACTGATAGGGCCATCGTTAAATTAAGTCAGAGCCCAAAATATAGCATAATTCGAAATTATTATTTTAAGACTTTATAACATAATACATAGCCTACTGATTAATAATAGCTGAGATGCACATTTCGATGCACATTTCAGAATAAATAATCGTTTTTAGTATATCTTACTGAATATTTATTGTCTACAAAATAAAATATGAATTACATGCATCTTTAGAAATACAATTTCTACAATATTATTCTTGTTTTTAAGTAGATAAATGTTCGATAAATTCTTTCTTTCATAAAAACAAAAAAAACAAAAAACAAAAAAAAAAACGAAATTTAGCCCGTCATTTTCATTCTAATCAATGGCGTTTGTAAACGTGCGCGGACGTCATCATCGAATCCCAGGACTTCCGACGGTAAAGCTGGCCTGCTTGCCTAGGTCCGTCCCAGGCCAACCAATAATAATTAACAAAATGTATTTTTTAAAATATAGGCCTATGGCGCATCCTGTACATGCACTTCAACTTTTACAACAAAAGCCTACTCTACTCTAGGTAGACGGCGACCGGTTTCGTTACCGGTTGGTACATTTCTTACAAACATTCAGCCAAAGGCCAGTGAAAGTTAAGACGGCAGCCGTGTTTTTATCGATGTTTGCCATCCTTATGTGTGCCATCGTAAAGGAATTGCGTTTTAATTTAAATCTCCGAACTTCTGAAGCTGACATATCCTATGAATGTAGGCTTGTAATGCNNNNGCTACAATTTAAAAACGGGTGGGACTCATTCAAAAATTCGAGGGGGTTCGCTAGAAAACAGGGGGGTTCGCTAGAAAAGGGGGGTTCGCCCGAACCATAAAAACCCCCCCTGGCTACGGGCCTGCCTTGACAAATGCACCCTCTGAAAGTGCAAAAAGTTCTCAAATTCTTTGCGCGCATTTCTTGTTACGGTAGGCCAATTTCCTCTATAAATTCACATTTTAGGGAGTTTTCATCAATTTCGACGAAATTAGGATTAAAAACACAAAAATATTTTGCGCGCCTAGCGCGCATTTTTTAAGGCTTTTTTAGGTTTACCCTTTTAAGTTATTTAAACACATAATAGTCCCAAACTCAAGAAAGACAAACTTAAGAGATCATTTTAACCTAAAAGAAGGGCCTCAATGTGTATTGATGGTGAAAGAATATGTTTGTAATAAATAAAACCATGATGAAAATGCTTATATCTAGTTTCAAGCACAGGTGTGTGGCCTATATTATAAATCAGATAAGCCCTATGTCGTATTGTTTTCTATATGGGGAGTGGGGTGGGGTGGGTATGGTAAATTACTAACCGGGAAAATAAATACCCACTCCGACCCAAGACCCTTGTTACGCGCCTAGTGTTAGCGCCAATGTGTGCCCTTGTGCGGATAGGGGATGTTCCCCCTCTGAAGCTGGAAACCTTGTTTTTGCAAAATAAATTGATGCAATTTGTTATTATAGGACTAATCAATAAATTCCTCATCAACCGATATAACCTTAAACATTCTTGGAATTGACATAACATTACTGATGTCGTTCACACCCGTCAGTGTGAAATGTGGCTCTCTTTGCAAGCACGTCTAACATCTAAAGAAAGAAGAGCTTAGATTGGTACCAGATAAAATAATTTTGTTATCAACAATAATACATTATGCTACTTTTCATCTTTGTAAGCGCATAAGACAGTGCAAAATATTTCTGTGACAGTTATTTGAAGTGTGTAAAGCCCCATTTCATCCCATACATAGTCAAAATATTGGGGGGGGGGGATGATACAATGGACCATCCCCCCCCCTTTGTCAAATATTGGGGGGATATATCCCCCATCCCCCCGGGATCTACGCCTATGGCGACTACCTAGGCATCCCTGCAAGGGTGGGGCGAATCTTCTGGAAGCTCTGACAAATTAGCATTTTAAGGGCCCTTTTTAATGGATTTCTAAAATCTATAATTTGTAATATCCTATTTAAATTTTCATTCATTTGAGTATTGTCTAGGGACCTGCAGTAAAGCAGGAAAAATAGAGGGTGGGGGTGAAGGGAGGAACTTGCACCGACAGATGGTCAATACCACCTGAGCCCCACCATGGTTGGGGCTTAGGTAAGAAAATTTATGATTATGGAACCTCAAATTGGCCGGAAATGGCATTCTCAGACAAACTTTAATTAGGCCTATGATTTTTCTTTTTTCTCCATTTCTTTTATAATTTTAGGGGCTCTCCCCCCCCCCCCTTTGAATCCACCACTGTGGAATTGTAATTTTTCATGATCTTTACATCTGTAGGCCTAATGATGACATGGATCAATCTGCAATCACTGGAGCTGATAATTTCCAACATATTTCGCAGCATATATTAAAAAATCAACGGGTAGAAGAGCGGGCAAAAAAATGTTATGCATATTATAACATTTCGTGATAATTTTAGGAACGATTTTAGTGAAATAACAGGTTTTAAAAATTGGACTTTTTGAAATTTGGTGGTCCAGGGGCAGAGGCCTGGAGGGAGTTTGTGAGAAAAGCGTCAAAGTAGCATTTTGAGGGTCTTTACATAATAGATTTCTCAAACACATAATTCATGAATATTTCATTTAAATTTTCATTAATTTGGGTGTTTTTGGGACCTGAAAAAGTAACGTTATTATGTCCTGTACACCTGAAGGCATATAGATAACATTATTCATATTATATGGACAATCACCGGAGACGATCAATTTCTAACAAATTTCATACCACATTATTAAACATCAACAGTTAGATAAGCCGGCAAATATATAATGCAATGCATGCTATAGCAGGGACGTAGCCAGGATTTTGAAAAGGGGAGGGGGAGGGAGCCGTTATGCGAATTACGAAGGACCCCGCCGGGGTCAAGGGGACGAATCCCCCTGTGAAGTAGCGCACTCTGAACATTCTTAGGACTGTTTGAGAGGATAAAGTGAAAATTGCAATAGACACATTATAAATAAGCGCAAAATAATTACATAATAAATCAACAGTGGCAGATTACCGCGCCTTTTGCCAAGGGATATATACAAGGCGCAATCAAAATCAATTTTTTTAAAAAGGTATTTGGGGATCAACAAAGACGATAGAAATGACAAAAAGCAGAAAATTTAGACAGTTAAATGAGATTTATTTAGGAAAACAATGTTTCTTGAGAAGCCGACGAAATCGAGGCATTTAGGTATATATCTAGACTTATGCCTTGTTTTTTTGACAAGCCCGGGCACATGTACCTACTACTAGCCTTCTACATAGCCCACTGTTTATTATTTCAAACACTTAATTTTTGTATTAATTGTAACGCTTATACGCACACCCCCCCCCCCTTCAAAATTATCAATGGTCACTAAGGAGTGCCCAAGTAACCTCAAAATTTCATCCATTTTACTTGTTGACACCGTCCAAAAAAGTTGTGAAACTTTAATTCAAAATAGAGGGCGTCCACTTGAGTTGCACTGCCATTGGTGTCTTGCATTGCCACCAATGTTTTGCACTGTGACTCTCAGTTTTGCACTGTGACTCTCAGTTTTGCACTGTGACTCTCAGTTTTGCACTGTGACTGTCAATTCTGCACTGTGACTCTCACTTTTGCACTGTGACTCTCACTTTTGCACTGTGACTCTCACTTTTGCACTGTGACTCTGTGTTTTGCACTGGTGACTCTCAGTTTTGCACTGGTGACTCTCAGTTTTGCGCTGCTGACTCTCAGTTTTGCACTGGTGACTCTCAGTTTTGCGATGCTGACTCTCAGTTTTGCGCTGCTGCCAATTGTATTTTGTCCTTTTGGCGTTCCATATACTAATGCCTAACTTATTATTATCATAATAATACAAGACTTTATATGATATCAAAAATTAACTTGTTTTCTCTCTTTTTCCTTTCTTTTCTTCCCTTTACTTCTTTAATTTTTGGGGCACTGTCTCCCGTGGTTCCCTGGATTCTCCAGGCTGAAATATGAGAGAAAAACCCTCAAATAATAAGAAGTTCAATTTCGGTGTGTAGGTTTATCAAGTTTCTCTAGATAGCATGGTGATCGATGAATAAACATACCGTGCAGTCATGCGTAACAACAGAAATACAGTTTGTCGACGTGGTGGTTTGGAAGAGAACAGCCATGGATTCCTACTTAAATTTGTTATCAAATGTCACAATCTTGTGTACAGTATCTATGTTTGCCGCAGGAATGTAAGTGTATGCTTAGGGCGTCGATACTGGTCATTTTAACTAAAACAGAAATGAAGGCGCAGGACTAGCAGGGCTAGGCCTGATAAACGACTTCACAGCACAATCGTTGTTTACTACCCTGTCTGTGGACGTCAAAGGGCCCACAAGGCCCTTAGCCTAGTTGGGAGGCCTACTAATAAATCACCTTATTTTACAAGCTAGTGCCACCTCAATTCACCTTCACCCCCCCCCCCCCCTCACCTCCCCCCCCCCCCCCCCCCCCGGGCTTCACGGAGTTGGGGTTGGGTCATCAGAGCTACAAAAATGCACACTAGTAGTAATATAGTAGTAGTAGTAGTAATATAGTTGTAGCATACAACACTCTCCCAATACCGTATACATTGGCAGATCCAGGGGGTTAAGGGTGTTAGGACGAACGTGTGAAAAAACGTAAAAAAAATACTACTGGTCGTAGTCTACGAAAGTGTGTTATTCATGCCTATCGGTTCATCGATCCATCGAAAAAAGAATATGTAGACCTAACCAACTACTCAATATTGGAATATTTAAATGTCTGATTTTTTTTTTTCTGAAATAGGCCTACTTACTGTAATAAGAATGAGATAAAATTACCTGACCATTCTTAAGAGGGGGAAAACCTTGAATTTTGAAGAACTTAAAAAAGTCTTAAAAGACACCTCAGAAGTCGGGAAAGCTCATTTCTGGCCATCTAGGAATCAAAATTTTCCCGGGGAAGTACCCCGATCCCCCCTTTCTTTTGGTGGTTTTTTGGAAACATTTTGAATCTAGCTCCATCAAATCCTGGATCCCCCCTAGATGTGCCAGTACAATTTCAAAGCAGTTTACATTAGTACTACTGTGTTCTATTTAGATAAGCAGGCAATATCACATTGCATTTTTGTGTTAATAATTCATTTTTTAAGACAGAGAGGTTTAAAGAAATAGGTGACCTGGATAAAACGATTATTTTTCAGTACAGTTGTACTATAAATGTAAAGTGTTTTAAGACGTTTGGGTTTTTATTGTTTTACTTCTGACTTTTCGCGATGCAGGCTTGCTGATGCTGCCCTGGGCAAAAACAAACCTTACCCAAACCAATGATCAGCCCAAAATGTCCAACAACTTGGCACAGCATACAACTTGGCCCAACTAACAAGTCAGACTAAAATTCAACTCTGGCCAACTACCCATATTTTATATCTCTCTCAAGTTTATATATTTATGAGCATCTGTGAAATTCTGAAAACTTCCCCCATTAGTTTACCTTATTATGATTTCAATCAGATCAAAGTAGATGCACAAACTTTGTGAATGTCGTTTTGTGTTGTCAGATATGATCAATGAGCACCTAAGTGTACACAAAGAATTTCCGGGCGTAGTCTCGTGCCTGTAAATTTGTTTATCTTGGAATCTTTGAAGCATAATATCAAGATCATAACCAATGCACTGCACTCTCATGGCTGAATGTAGATGTTTACAGTATATAGATTTCGATTCGTTTTGTTTTTTTTCAGTCCTTCATGTTTATCCATTTATCGGACTGGAAGCACACAGAATGTTCCTTACCTCCCCTTTTTGATGACCTTAATAAAGTAAGTTGAAGCATTCTTTTTTTTTTTTTTAAATTGGAGCCCTGAGAGGAGAAACGTGATCTACCTAGTTTTGACTGTTAGAATTTTATCCAAACCTGAGACAATGTCCACACTAAAATTTAAATGGCTGTGATACAGTATATATCAGTGATATTCTATAACTTCCCAGTAGTATCACCAAGAAGAAGAAAATTTATAAAGGTTTAATATTGATAATGAAAATTCTATTTAAATTGTAAATTTTTGTATCTGTTTTAGATATTTTCATATTTATTTTTATACAAATAAGACAAGTATATAAATATTAAATGAGAGTAATTATTTTTATCTTATTTATGTTTTATCGCATGAACATATTTCAATTATTTTTGTATTCAATTTAATAAATATTTTTAAATTATTGTTTAGGTATCACTATTTCAATTTGGTTTTCTCTCATTTTCAGTAACCTTCTGTGGTTCTATTATGGGATATTAAAAGTAGACTCCACTCTCTTGGTGGTGAATGGCATTGGTGGTTTTCTACAGGTTACCTATATGGTGGTGTATTTGTATTTTGCAGTTAGCAGAGTAAGTACATAATCAAGAGGAGGATAATGTAATATTTCAAAATTATTAAAAAAATGGAAAAGGAAGAAGGCACAGATAAAGATAGATAATTGACTGATCAGCCTGGAAATGAATGAATGAATGAATGAAAAACTAAGTGAATGAACAAACAAATACATGAATGAACAAATGAAAGCATGAATGAACAAATGAATAAACTGACAAATGAGAGTAAGTCATACACATTGTAAAATGAATAAGTATCTGTATTTTTAAGGACATTGTTTTGCTTGCATGCCTACTGTAAATGTTCATAATTTAGTAATGGTTCGGGGATTCTGTAAAGAACAATTTTTTTCCACTTAAACAACCCCTTTTAGCCCTCTATATTAATTGTATGTTTGTAATGAATTATTACAATGGCTCAGGGATGGCAATCAGCACCTTCTGTAAATCATAATTTTCTCCTTAAAAACCCACTTTATCTCTCTATGTTAATTTTGTGTGCATGCAGGTCCTTTTATTTGTTGATAAGTGTTTTTCTTCTGAGAATTTATCTTGTAGTTTTATCTAAATTTTCTCCTAACAGGTTCCAAATTTGCTAGGCATACCAAGCTGCCTATTGAGGTTGTTTTTGCTTTGCAAGTACCAAGGTTCCACTAACCAGTATGTCTACAATTTTTTGCATTTCCGATTCTTTCAAAATTTGGCAGAGATTTTTGCAGTAGGGAATAGGGAATGTTTTCTCCCTACAGGGCCCTAAAACAATTTAGTGTGCTGTGATGTAGAGTTAGTCAATCATCAGAATACTATTAGCACCAGACTATGCATCATTTAGTTTTTGTTCTGTAAATTTTGCTTCAGCCTACCTAACCCACTCAAATTTATGTTAGATGTTAGTGTACTGGTATACATTTAATTTGTGTTTTGCACTTAACTGTTCACTGCCTCTGAATGATAATATATAGAGTAATACTGTTTAAGTATACTAAAATTCTAATTCTGAAGCATGCATTTAACAATATCAATGTGACATGATGCTACTCACTCTGGCATGATGGCGCATTTTTATTAGTGCACGAGCATTTTGAAAAACAAAAATACAAAAGGCAAGGCGTCTTTAGTGCGCCAATTTCTGTTTAGGTTCTGAACCTTGTGGTCAAGAATTCGAACCACACGCTGTTCATGCTTAGATACCCCAGCTTACTTTGTTGCTCCAACTCTTTCTCATTTAGAATCTTTGTGAAACTCACCTTTTTCCATAATTCATACTTGTTAAGCGCTGTGAGACTCCGGCAAAGAGCGCTATATTAAATATTATTATTATTGATGGGCTGTGAAATGGTAAATGTTGTTTTAGTGTTAATATTTCATGGCTATTAATAGATAAAATTCATTAATACAGTTAAACTTGCCTAATTCGACTTCCCCTAACTTGAATAATTTCTAAGTCGATCTTATTTTACATATCAAATTGTTATGTTTTCACGTAAATAACCATCTGTAAGTTGAATTTTATCCAAGTCGAACAATTTTTCAATGCCATTTTGGATTCGACTTAGGCAAGTTCAACTGTCTATAAATATGTACATAACTCGTACCTTAGGTACAGCTGGCGTAGGTCATATATACATTGTCTGACAACTAATTATTGAATAGATTGCAATTAAATACCTCCTTGCTGTAACCTGCCCTGTCGGTTATTTTGTCAAGATTCCTGAGGAAAATTGTTTTTCTCAGTTTTCAATCGCTGAAGTCTGCCTTATTCACATACATGCAAAATGCACTCTTAATTCTCTGTTGTGTAGTGCATGTGTATGTAATTTAACTACCTTTAAATATGTCCAACTGTGTGCAATTGAAATCATGCTTTACCATTAACTGAAAGAAAGAATAAATTCAATTAGGCTATATAGCAGCCAAGCTCCTGGCCTTTCGTTATACTCCAACATTTATAACGTAGTCCACCACTTAAACCATCCAAAATACAGTGCACCCTTCAATTCGAGGCCCTTCTAATTCTGAGACACCCCCCCCCTTAATTCTGAGATCATTTTTTCCAAAGAACCGAATAACAAGCTTTAATCTTTTAACACAAATATACCCTTCTGTGTTAAGCATGAATCTGAGACCACCCTAAATTTTCCAGTCCCAAAGGTAGTTTTGAATTGGAGGTCAAACTGTGTAATGCTTAAAACGTGCCATCCATTTTGAATAACATTTATAAAATAACATGTCAATGTTTTTTTCTTTGTAATTTTCATCTGTTGCTATAATATTATCTTTATCCGACACTAATATTTTTATATATTTTTTTACCATGATATTTTTAAATTTTTTCAGATACCAAACCTATCAGGCATAACATCATCCATCATCCGTTTGATGCTTCTATATGTGTATCCAAAAATCCAGGTGTTAGTAGATTCCAAAGAAAAGGGCGTATAGGTTACTGGATCGCCAAGAAATGATGAAACAAGACATAGATGATAATTCTTAAGCTCACTCCACACTACCAAATTTTATGTTGTATGCCCATATATAGTAGTGATGTGCCTATATATGGTCATGATGTGATCATCGTGACCATAATTAGGAATGTATACTTGATTGCCTATGTATGGAAGAGTTTAATGATCTAATGGTGCATTTATAAATCTGGAACAAGGTGTTTATGTGATAAACGCCTGAATTTCTTTAATGTCTTGAAGACTGTATAAATTTTTTTTTAAAGTTATGTGTACTACAAGTTCGTTTGACATGGGTTTATGTTTACGTACTTTTACTTTGTGGTTTCTATCAAAGAGTTGTGATTGGAGACCAAGGCTGTCACAACTTGTGTCCTTAGCAGGGGTCCCAAGTGTGAGTAAGTGACTTCTGCTGGAAGATCTTGTTGAATGAGCATTCTTAACACATCTGAGTTTATTTTGCTGCTCATGGTGATACCCATCAGCACTGATCGGGGGCGGATTTAGGAGGGTGGGGAAGGCCCGGGCCCGGCCCCGGCCCCCCCCCCCCCCTTTTGGGGGGTTAAAAAAAAAAAAAAAAAAAGATAGAAAAAGGGAAAAATGACAGCCCACAACGCCTCAAATGTTATTTTCGGGCGTCTAGAACACAAAAATTTCGTGGGGGAATGCCCCCGGACCCCCTAGGACATGGTTGTCTCGATCGGTCCAAATTTTTCCCCCCCTCCCCCTTTTGGACATCTCTTGTTCTGCCACTGCTGATTTCTGTGAGACCATTGATAATAGTAGTTAAAACATGCAAATATTATGAATTTGCAGAAGATAGGTTATTTGCCAGGAGATTTTTGCTTGCTTGTGGGAGTGCAGCAGACCATTCCAGTTTCCGGGAGGCTTCCACAGATTTGGGACCCTTCCACAGATTTGGGACCCACGCCTTACCAAGGTATTTACTTTCCTCCTTATTTTATGTCTTTCCGTAGGAAAACTTGTAGTCAAGCCTAGATAATAATTTATTGTGCATCTGACCATGAATTTATATTTTAAAAATGTGTTCAGCACAAAATGTATTCAGTAGATAGCCTGTTATAACTGTCTGACCACTATATAGCCTAGCAGAAGGGGGTCTGGAGAGAAAAAAAATGGCTCTCGATATACCGGTATTTGCGATGCTCCAGTAGCATTGCTCTACAATTTTTTAAGCCCTGATCGTATTAGGCAAAATGTTTCAAAAATGACATTATTTAAAAAAACCTATATAAGCTAATGGGGATACAACCGAGATGAGGTTGTACATTGTACATGCATGATTTGATACTCTATCCAAAGCAAAAAAAAATATATTCAAATAATCCTGAAATGGGAGTATGCTTTATTGTAAATGGCATAGCATAGTTTACTTTCATGGATATCGAAAATGTGTAAAGCTTTATAATATATGTGTATGTGTGTGTTGGATCGGGGTGTGGGGGGTGGGTGGGGGTGTAGCATTGAAATTCCTGTAACTTAGTGGGGACACAGCTGGTATGCCACACTAGTCATACACATTAAGGCATTTGATGTGCCTATAAAATATCTCACAAAATTGGGGTGAAAATAGACAGTTTGGGCTAAGCTTTTCCCTGGACCTCGGAGCCCCTTAGGCGACCCTGCGTATTATGGTATGTGTCTAAGGTGCAGGGATCTATTTCTGTGCAATTATCATTTATTAAAGGAGTTTACATATTTTGTATTTACTCAGCATTTTTATGGTTTCTATTAAAGACAAAATATTTCTATGGCTGTTGTACTCTGTTGTACTTTTTTTGTCCACGTTTAAAATTAGTTCAAATATTAGTACTCTACAGTACTTTTTTAATATTCAGTTTTATTTAGAGGCATATCATTCATAATTATACAGGTGGGGAGGTTGTTTTAATCTGTTGGCAATTGTTTGAGCCATTTTTATTTTTTTTCTTTTTAGGTATGAAACAAAACACTCAGAATATAATAAAGAATACAAAATAAAAGCATTCATACAGATCACGAAATAAGCGTGACACTAAAACAAATCTATCAATTTGATTGACACACACAATTGGTGCTGAAGTAGAGAGTGGTCAGTATTATAATAGTATTGTTCAGATCATTGCAATATTTATTCATTTCCATGTAAAGCAGCAAGATAACAACATGCTAAAAAAATGATAAAATTGTAATTTATAAGTGCCACAGGTTTTTGGGTTATTTAAAATTATCAAGTACCACTGGGTTGGGATGGAGTGGCAGTAGTACATTATGGGATTTATGTTCAGAAGTCCCAAGAATTAAGTGATTAAGTAAAACGTAAATAATAATATAATACAGCTTGATTATTAAAATTGTTCATCTTGTCTATAATACGAATCTGTTAAAAACATAATTTACTGTGCAATTAATTATTATTAATATATCTTTTAATTTCTATAATAAGTTTTTTTTATATAAATTAATATTTTGATATCCACCTCAGTTTATAAGCTTTAAAACTGTTTCGAGATTGTCAAAAATTTAACAGCTAATATAGAGGGCGCTATAAAATGAGTCATTTTGGTGGAGTCTCAGTCGCAACCAAAAAGAAAAGCGTCGCGTCGCCTTGGAATTTGATTCAACTGATAATAATGGTGGCCGATTACAATCCGTTATCTAGAAGGAATCTAGAATATGAATTTATGATACTGTAGATAGAGAATGAAGTCATTTGAATTCACAAAACCATCGGATATTTTGTTTTAATGCTTTCACCAATTAAGTAGGTAAGTTAAGCCAGTACATTTTACTCGGAAACCCAAGCAATTTGATTGATTGATTGGTGTACTGTGTTAGAGATAGCCTAGCCTTTTTGGACTAGAATTCCACAGGTAGCTTCTTTTTCATATGTTTTTGTGTTGATATCCAACAGGGTGGGCTTTTCTCTATATAGCAGTTTAAGTATCTCAGACGAAGCCCTACATACAGTAGTACGTTACAAAAATAATGAGATTTCCCCAAAAATTGATTTTGAAACGAATTAAGCATGTCAACGTTTGCGGTCTTTTGTCATGTAAAGTAGTTATATTGTTTGTAGAGCTTAGTGCATTGGGTACCATTGATATTAACTCAACAACTGGTGTTCAACTCGCCACAGATGTGTACCAGGAAAAGAATGGTTAAAATACAGAATCATTCTTTTGTTATTGATTTAAAAGAACAGATTTTAAAACAAACTTCTCTGATTCATTGAATAAACATTTAGATATTGATAACTATTATATATATATATTATAAATTCACAATTCAATGAATGAGCTGTTTATTAAATTAAATTTTTGTATAATTGCATGCCATGGTCATTTTGTATACTGTATTACAATATTGTATCATTTTATTTAAGTTCTTTAAGTACAATATCTAGGGCATACTGTACTGTTATGAATCAGTAATAAATATTATAGGTATTGCAAGAATAGATAAAAAGAAGCCTCTGATTCAGGCTCTGAACAATTAAAAGCTTTTTATTTAAAATTCAAGGTAAAGTACTTAAATATGTTTTAATTTTAGCTACTTTGTAAAAAAGTAAAATCCAATTCAGTTTAAAGTACTTGGGTAGAATTTTTTCCAAATTCCTCTGCAAATAAAATATAATATTAGGTAGTCCTCGTATTTCATTCCTTTTCTTAATATTAATTTTTTTTCTCACATTTATTTATAATAGGCCTACTCAGTTTCCAATGTCCTTGTGCATAAAATTAAATTAGTTTAGTGTACAGTAGATTCCTGTAAACATATTAATGATATTTTTAATTGTGATTTACCTGGCAAATAGCCAATAGGCCTACTTCAGTTTCTCATCTCAGCAAATTACTGTGGTAATAAAGTGAAATAGAATTCATCTAGTGTTTCGCATTTAATGATTGTTGTGGTGATTTTTGTTTTTTTTCCCAAACTCAGGATGTCATCAGGAGCCATTATGATCTGGCTAGTTGTACTGCTATCCCAAACTGCCATTCTGCTGGCCCAGGATGCTCAGGTTTTCTTTCTGCAGACAACGGTCTCAGTGGAAGAGACTAACGACTCATCCTTCACCCTAAATGTGCGGAAGACTGGAAATATTGATACAAGTATCACAATACTTATTGCTGTAAGAAATATATAAATTTCTTTGCTCTAAAAACATTGAAGAACACATACAGTAACTTGATGTTTTCTGTACTGTAATCGTATGAATTTTTAAGGTTAATTACTTGACTTATAGTCTTGATGTGTTTTACGTGTAGAGATTTTTAAATTTCTATCTTGCGGTACTACTGAATTTTCCGTTTCATTCTGTGCATACAAAATTAGGATAGTCACGGACCTCTTGTCTTCAGCCATTCTACTCTTTGGTATAATTTCATAAAACAATTGAATAAAAAACAACCCAGCTATATCAAAATGTACCTGTAGTTACTATGTGGTGAAAGCTTTGAGTTGCCTTATACCTCTGCCTACAGTATCAAAAAAATGTTTAATTTACAATACTAAAATGTTAATTTGTAATTATCAATATTATGTAATTTCCTAATTTGTTAAATATGCATTGTTTTTCTTAATATTAAATTTAATAGATTGAGCAGATCATATAATTATTAAGTGTGCTAAAATGATACAGTAAATTAAATGATCATGTACTTTTTTATATGTTTATATGAACAGTAGTTACCTTAATAGCAAGCAAAAATGATTTCATCATATAATAATTGGAAATTGTTGTTCTTTTTTACAGCCAATAGAAAATATACAAAGTGATTTTGGGGTTCCATACACTCAAACTAGAGAGATTAGTGCAGGCAACGAAGTAGAAACATTTGGAACAACATGGAACATTAGAAATGATGATATTCCTGAAGGCGATGAAGTGTTTATCTTCGAACTGAGTGATTTGTCTGGCAGTGAGCAAGTGGTTATAAGTCAAGCCATTGTCAGAGTTACAATACTAGCTAATGATGATGCATAGTTGTCACTTCATTTCTTTAGAGTTGCAAAGCTGTAGAATGGGGAGTGCATTTTGCAGATTGGTAGTTAATATTATTATATTCTGATAATAATAGAAGAATGATGTAATGAAAAATATTGTTTTTCAAAGGTATTTGTATATTGTTTATTAATTTATTATTATTTCGTCATAGATAATTGGCATTGACCTAAAGGATACAAGTGACCCAGATGACCTTAATCCTACCGTAGGTTCAGTGTTGTTCCAAGATGGACAAGATAATGGAACATTAACTCTTCGCATATTAACAGACAGGGTACAGCTTTTGACTTTTTATTTTTTAAAATTAGGTAGAATATTATTAAGGGATTATGCAAATTCATTTTTTTCTGTAAACTGTATAGCATCTTGTTTATAGAGAGACACTTTAAGATGAGGATAAAAGGTTAATCACTAAATTAAGAGAGAGTCTGTAGGTTATGTGAGAGAAGACTGCATACCTTGTGAAATTAAGTGGTAGACAAAGTACATATTTTCTTGTTGAATACATTGAAGAAAATGTGTTTAAGAGGGTACTGTAAACCAGCTTAGCCCCATTAGCTTAGCAGAGAAACCAAATGGTATTTTAAGGGTCCTTGGTTCAAAATTTAATGGGAGACATTTTTTCCATAAAAAAAATATGTTGGATGAGGAAGGGTATAGTTGCACTTTCTAAGATTAAAGGATACACTATGAAATTAGGGGTGTTGAAGTACACTTTGATATGAAAGGGACATGGCATACATTTGGAGATTGATGATGAGGAGCATTGGGGTACAGTTCGAAATAAGAGAGATAGTTATGTTAAAGGGATAGGGCATACTTTGAAATGAGTGGAGAGAGTTGAAAACAAGACTGCTTTTTTACACTTGTCAAAATATTGATTTTAACGAATTATTTATCCATAAAAAATAAACAGTTTTTTGGTGTTAATCAAACAGTAATAGTAATAATTCATTTGATAGGATACACATTTCCATATATTATCATCATTCAAAATTTGATATTGAATTGTACAATTTTTCCCCCTGTTTTTTTAGATACCTGAGAATGATGAAACTTTTCAAATAAGACTACTAGAAGCAACGGGTGGAGCAAAATTAGATGAAGCAAAATCAACACTAACTGTAATTATATTGAAAAATGATAGTCCTCTACGATTCTCACAAACATTTTATATGTTTGAAGAGGATGCTGGTACTGTTTCTGTTGATGTTCACCGAGGCCTTTCAGCTGATGGTGTCACACAGCTAGGCTCAGATGAAGGCACTGTTGTTGTAGACTATTTTATGGTCTCTAGCTCTGGAAAGCTAGGACTAGATGCCTTAGCATCAAATGGTAGCTTGACTTTTTCCCCGAGGGAATACACAAAGACAATATTTATTACTATTTTATCGGATGATATCCCAGAAATTGGGGAAACCTTCAATGTACACCTTGCCAACCCAAGCTCAAATGCAGTATTAGCTGAGCCGTCTATTGCTACTGTTATAATTTTGGGGAATGATGATCAAAACGGGGTGCTTTCACTTCAAGATTCATCCCGATTTGTGACTGCTGCTGAAGGCACCGGCATCAATTCAGACTTTGTTGTCCAGAGGGTTGGTGGAACATTTGGAAATGTCAGCATAGATTATGAGATTGTTAGAAATGATTCAAATTCAAACTCTGTTACTGATGACTTGACTCCTGCCAGTGGCACTGTCTACTTTATGGAAGGTCAGGCAACTTCTGCAATCACAATAACTATTAATGATGACAGCATTCCGGAAGAGGCTGAGAGATACGCTGTTAGGATTCTTCCATTTACAGTAACAGGTGGAGCAAGGGTGAGTGGGCCAACAGAAGGCCAGCTCCTATTGGTCGATAGTGATGATGCATATGGTGTTATCCAGTTTTCATCAGATAATGACCAAAGCATTGATACCTCGGAATCTCCAAGAAAACTTAAGTTAACCCTGACAAGAGGTGGAGGTCTCATTGGAAATATTTTAGTCAACTTTACCGTGACGTATGACCTACCATCTGAGGAAGTATCGGCAATAGGAACTGAAGGTGTGTATTTAAGGAACTTCACTCAGTCATTCCAATTTTTTATTTTCTTTTAAACAAAGTGCAGGCAATAATTATTACAATGTTTGTAGTATATTTTACAGTAGTGGCAGTCACTATGTTTATATTTTTTGTTGTTTCATTATCCATTTATTTTGGAAAGTTAAACATCCTGAAGTCCCACTTTGTGATTGGTTGTGATGCAGGATATTGTTTATGTGGGTGTGCCACAAACGAGTAAATATATTATGTAACTGATTATGTTCTATGTTGCTACTACATATTGTAATACCACTACTGGCTAACCCAAACAAACAAGTCACTATCACTTCCACTAGTACTGTAATTCTTCATAAACAAAATAAAGTAAAATGTATTCTCTGCATATATTATCAGTTATAATATTTTGTTACTGTATTGCTTCATGATCTATCTGTATATATTTCAGATGTTTTGGATCTTGGACCAGGAACCAGCACGGTCTTTCCTCAAGATCTCTCCATCCATAGAATATCAATTAATATTCGGAACAATGCATTTCTGAGTGTCGATGCAGTGTTCACTGCTGCCATACAAGAAGTAAGCCTTCACAACTATGACACAGTATTTCAGCCATCCAGTCCACGTATTGGAGAAAAAAGCGTTGTAGCTTTGGAACTGTCAACTGCAGAAGCCAATGGTGAGGTTGGATTTGACCAGGAGAGCCTCAAACTTGAGGTTCAGGAACCAGATGGAGATACACCTGCACAAGTTCGTATTAATTTAACTATACTGTTTTAAAGTCATTTCGTGTCAACAGTACTGTATACATTCACATATTCTCATAACTTAAGCAAAACTTTAAATTTTTTTTGAGATAACTCTACCTTTGAAAGATCTGCAGAGGAGTGTAGAAAATATATACAAAATAATGGTATAAGAAAGTCTCGCTTAATTATGAATTCTCAATTTCTTTTAACTGATATTTTTATTCAGATTCGATTGAATGTTACAAGGGAAGGTACATCCGGATATGTGTCGCTTCTTTGGCGTATATCAGAAGTCGGTGTGAACTCCTCCATGAGGATTTATGACTTGTTCCCAACATCTGGAACAGTCTACATGCTACCAGGTAAATGACAGTCATTTGAAATTAAATCCAAATTTGGGTGAATTTAGTTTGATAACTATTAATTAGATTAGATACTAGGAGTGATTTTTTTTTTGGTTTTTTTGTTTGTTTGTAGGGTTTGCCAGGGGATACATCAACATTCAAATACTTTCTGATGATGTACCTGAACTTGAAGAGAAATACCAGGTGGATTTATACAGTATTATTCCTGAGAACCAAAGACTCAAGGAGGGATATGTGACTGCAGAAATCACTGTTCTTGAAAACGATGCCCCGGGGGGTGTGTTTGAGTTTGCTTCTTTCTCTTCTGGACCATTTGTAACAACAGAAGCATATCAGGTCATTCGTGTCTCAATCATTCGAACGGGCTCATCTCTGGCAACACGCCAAGTAATGTACTCTATGTTTGATTCTTCAGGAGAATCAAATATTGTTGATTTTTTTAATGTGCCTAATTTCATCACATTTCAACCTGGTGAAATTATGAAAAACATTTCATTCGTTGCAAACTCTGATAACATTCCTGAGTTGGATGAAATATTTGACCTCCGACTTGAAAGTTATGGTTCACCGCCAAGTGACCTTGGAGAACGGACGAATATTATGGTAACAATTCTAGAAAATGATGACCCATACGGTGTTTTCCAATTTGAGCAATCTCCAACAATTATTTATATTGATGAGAGCAAAGGAACTCCGCAAGTAGCTGCTTATTTTCCTGTAGAGCGTACACAAGGAACCTTCGAGACTGTGACTGTATCATGGATAGTTTCTCCTCAAATGTCGCCCATTGATGTTTATCCAGTGAACGGATCATTGACGTTTCTTGAGGGTGAATCACTTTCTTACATTGAAATCTTTTCCCAAGATGATCAAGTAGGTGGACATTTTTCATTATTTGAGCACGTTTTTTATTAATAAAGAAAATATTATGATCTTAAGTTCATTCATTCATTCATTCTCTTTATTTTGAAAACTAGTTCATAGAGTACAACAATACTAATAAGAGCGACCACTCACTGGTCCGCACATTCCTCCACGCTTAAGTTATTATATTGTGTTTTTTGGAAGAGGTAATAAGATAGAAATTTTTTAATAATTAGAATGTTTATTTGTACAAAAAAATTATTTTAAGAATGTTCATTTGTACAAAATTAAAATATCTTATAAAATTGAAAAGAATAAATTCCTTAATAAATTTGGACAAAATATATTAAATACCAAGATGTAATTTGGACTCACAACCTTAAGTTCTGTAGAACACATCCTTGACTGACCATGCCATCTATGCAATGTGCCCTATTAGTGGTAATGGTAGTAATGTACAGACCTTTGCTGAAACCCCTGATTTGTTATGTAGGTGTAGGGGAACCCCGGTGTCCAACTTAAAAAAAGGGCGATGAACATTTGTTGGAAATCACCTATAGTTTATGTGAACAAAATTCCCTGCACGTCCGTTCAAATGTGGCAACACTGGAATGTTTTAGGGCCTGTTTCTACTGGAAAGAAATAATCAATTAAAAATGCTTTTTTCGAAAAATTGCTTTTATTCTCGCAGTAGAAACGGGACCAGTTTGTAAAAAGTGATTTTAAAAAATCGATTAAAAACACGCTATGGATAGCGTGTTTGAACGGCAAATAACCGATTTTGGCTGTGCACCTTTTAGCTGCAACACAAAAAAAGCGATTATCAGGTGAAATGTGACCTCCAGGTCAATCACTGCAAAGACTAGATCATATTAGGTGCGAACTTTCAAACAAATTTTTCCTCTTGTTCATGTCCAAGGCCTACAAGCTAAAAACATCAACAAACATGTGGAGTGATAAATTTGTTTCATAATTATTTTGTGGGGGGATATTGGGCCTAGGCCTCTCCGCTCTTCTGGGCCTACCGTTGTCCTGGTTTGGTCGCTCGTTCATTGTACCGATGAGCACAACCGAAAACATTTGCCTTCTCGCCTCACACTGTATCTTACTCCTCATCATCATGACAGGTATGAGAAAGATACTATCCTATACAGTTAGGAATACGTGTTGTATAAACAAAATGATGATGTAATTTCCGTCACAAAAAACGATTTTCGAAAAATAAAAAATGCAGTTGCAACGCGAGCAGTATGATTAAAGTAATAAATATTTAGTATGATTTAGTATAATGCCCCTATAGGCTACTGTATGTGTCGAAGATATTCATTTATTTTGTACACAGATGTAATAATTTTAATTTTTTTTTATTTAAAAAATATTTTTGAATCAGTAAATTGCAGATTCACATAAATGTAACTGAACTATTGTATTATTTGTGTTTGTCACAAAAAACGATTTTCAAAAAATAAAAAATGCAGTTGCAACGCAAGCAGGCTGTCTGGTACTCATTATAAAAAGTGTTTTAAAAAAATTGATTATTTTGTGTTTATCAGTAGAAACACACCCTTAAAGTTCTGGTAACAAGAACAAGGACAGCAGTGAGGCTCTGGAGTCAGCGCCTTGCTCAGACCCAAAAATATAAAGCAAAATATATTTACACCTCTCAAGCACAATTTAAACTTGCGTTTATGTATGTAGTAGGGACATCCATTTTACATACAAATTTCTGTCCTTGAGAACTTGATCATATATGCACTTCACAATGTATTCTCACAATTTTTTACCCTCTCAATAAAACCATTACTAAATACTGTAACCAATACATAATGGTTGTAATTAATATTTTGGTTTTTATTTTTGTCTACATTATTGTATGACTCAATAATATGTTTAATAAATTAAAATACTGTAATTATGAAGTTATTTATTTTTACTTACAGTACTTGGTATTTTGCTGTTAGACATACAGTATTCTTGAAAACGTTATTTGGCCTATTGTTTTATAATTTTCCCTGCCAAAAATATACTACAAAATATGAATGATGGAGCCCTTTGCCAGTCAAGAAAAATACCTTCAATTCAGTAATAAGCAGTAATAATAAAAAACAACTTTAATTTCCACTACTACAGTACATCTTTCAATTTTCAACTTTTCAGTTTATAGTATAATAATACTGTAGAAAGCAATACTGTACTGTATATTTAGTAATAGTGAAAAAATTACATCTGTGCCTTTAAATATGAATAAAATAATGCTACACAATACTGAACTAAGTAGTCATACCTGTGCATAATTTCACAGCTTCTCATCTGTTGTCATTGGTAACCATGTTGTGGAAGAGGTATAATTGGTTTTCACTCATCATATTCTCATAATAAATTTTGATTCATGATGAAAAATGATCCATAATTTGTTCTGGTGACATTGTATATTTGAATATTTTTGAATCATTAAAATAATGGCCTTTTGAAATGGCTTGATTAATAATGTATTAATAAACATATGACAATTTTAATATCAATTGAACAAAATATAAAATTTATAATTATGTTTTAGTACTTGGAAAATATCCCATTGAGCTCATGGTTTTTTAAAAATGTTTTCTTTAGATTAAGTGATTTATTTTATAATTTCATACATTTTTTGTATTATCTTAAATTGACTGCTGTGGTATAAATAAATAAATAATTAATAGCTGATGAAATTATGACTCTGTGTGATCCTGATAGCAGACGATGATTGCATTTTGTCTGCAATCGTTCCTAGATGATTAATATATTATTGATTTTTCTGTTAGTTTATTCGAGTCAGTTGTTAATTCAAATAGAAAGAGGTTAATTGTTTACCATGCATTTCAGCAACACCCTTTTAAACAAATTAACAAATTGAGGAGTTGGGTCTGTTTGTACTTCTTCATCATTAATATTTGTTTACTGTATCACATCATCTTCATTTGATAATTATTTCAACTATAAAATATTATTGTACTCTTTATAATATATTATAATATATTATTTTACTCTTTATGTAAAGTATGATTTAGTATAATGCCCCTATAGGCTACTGTATGTGTCGAAGATATTCATTTATTTTGTACACAGATGTAATAATTTTAAATTTTTTTTATTTAAAAAATATTTTTGAATCAGTAAATCTCAGATTCACATAAATGTAACTGAACTATTGTATTATTTGTGTTGTATAAATGTCAAATATAATATGGTTATGATTATTATTATCTTACTAAATACAGTATAGTTTTTGTATTTATTGGTATTTAAAAAAAAATATTATATACCGTACTCGCGCGAATAAGCGCCCGGGCGCTTAAAATATTTTTTGCACTTTTTGAGGGGTGCTTATTCAAACGGGGCATTTATTTAAACGGGATGCTTATGAAAACAGAGTGGAAATTAAGGGGGCGCTTATGGAAATAGATGAAAATCGAGGGGTTCTTATGGCAACTTATTAAATTCAAGAGGCACTTTTTGAATGAAAAAGATTATATAAAGACATTACGAATGGTGGTGCAGCGGAAAAGATAATCGTCCAGAGAACATGGCTCATGGCAAGAATGCTGTGATTATTTACATAACAGCAGAATAGCAGATGCAGTTAGCGGTGGTGGGTAATGGTTCTTGTTGGCCATCGGCCGATTGGGATTGGCAGGATCATTGCAGTTTTTCTTGAAAACTCTGATGAGAATGTGCTAAAGGTGCAATTTGTCGGAAAAAGAAAAAGAGGAGTAGGACTAGGCCTAGACAAATATGTAAGAAGAGGAAAGTTGAAAATATACTGTCTGTCCAGTGATCGGAGCTCCCATCTGTCCAAGAGAAATATCCTCATTTTGATGACCTAAGAAGAATGTGATTCCACTCTGTGGCTCAAATCAGACCAACAACCACAGTCCCAGGATTGATTGGATTATTGACTTGCTAAAAAATCTTATGATATTATTGAGGGGGTGCTTATTCAAATTAGAAGGGGGCGCTTATTCAAACGGGACGCTTAAGGAAATTTTCTCATTGGGGGCGCTTATTCAAATGAGGCGCTTATTTGCGCGAGTACGGTATATATGCACATGATTAATTTTATTTTTGACGAAGTACTTCAATTCAGCTTAATATAAAATAGTTATTGATGTTTACAGATTTTAATCTAATTTGAATATTTATCGTGTAACATACTGACTGTTTTGGACTGCCAGATGTCATAGTAGTAGTAGTAGGTATTGTATACTGGTGATGCCCATGAATACCTGTAGCATCTTAACTCACTTTATCTCTTTATAGGTTCCAGAAGGATCAGAACAGTTCACTGTCACTTTGTATGATGCTACTGGTGGTAGCAGGATTGGCATAAATTCAATAGCATTTCTCAACATCAACAAAAACGATGATGCAATTTTCTTTGAAGGTAAATGTATTAAATACAAAAAATGTTGCTACTACTGTATACTTCCATACTCCTTTAATGAGACCTGGTTTGAGATGCTTAGTGTGTACTGTAACTCATTAACTTTGGATCCCCACAGGGCCTGTGGCCGCCAAAATGCAGTACTACTTTGGTAGTACATCTAGCAGTACTCCTGAAGACGATCCCCTGCCTTTTTTTTTGGAAGATTATGTGTACTTTAATATGTATGTGGGCCATTTTTACCCAAAAACTTACTCTACCAACAGATAGAGAGCTCAGCGTTTTTTTGTTTTTGTTTTTTTTTTGCAAAGAGAGTACAGTGGCTTTATAACCTGGGACACAAAGATATCCATGATAATTACTCTTGGAGAAAAAGTGTTTATGTTCTTTTGGGATTTGAACCCAAGACTGTCAAATTATTGTTGGGATGCTCTACAAACTTACCATAAGAGCTAGGAAGCCAAGTGGTACATCCTGTGGTTTTTGATTAGAACACTTTTTTCTCAGAGTACTGTATGCATAATGTGCATTGAGTAACAATCATAGACGCCTCCAAGTAGTGAATGAAAAATGAAATATAGTTTACAATAACATTTTTGAGAAAACATACATGGTCCAGCACGCACACTTTTATCATCTGCTTTATGCTCTCTATATGTGACAGAGACAAGCCAATCCAGTCACTCATCGCAAATCATGATTTAGAGATAATGACCAATCAATGCTGGAATGTCAAAATTTTTAAAATCTATTGTATTGCACTAAACTAACCTTTTTATATCTGTACATCATGCCATGCTGTTATTTTGCCTATTTTCAATGTTAAAACAATTATTTTTGATGATTTGGTGATGGTTTCTGCCTGAGAAATGCCCAAAATCATAAACTTTTAAGGCTGATTTCTCAAATATTGGTCTTTAAACAGCTGTATGTTTAAACGCTTGTAACTTTATAAGGAAATGTCAGATTTAAATGATTCTTTTACCATTTTATAGCTCTCATTTTACAGTTTTCACCTGTATTATCTAAAAATCAATTTTTGGGACGAGTTGCTGGTTTGGCTTGTTTTTGGCACATATGAAGACTGCACTTTTTCCAACCTAGCCTAAATACACTGAGAGAGTTTGTAGCAATACCTTCACATTTATTCTTCAGATCCTGTACTAGTAGAAGCAGAAGAGCCGAGCAATGTTGTTCTCAGTGTGAGGCGCAATGGTACTGCTACAGATGTTGTGTCTGTCGACTATCGAACAGTTAGCATCACCGCTCTTGATGAACGCCAAGACTACGAGGCAGCTCAGGGAACTTTGACCTTTCCTATAGGAATTAATGTGCAGACAATATCATTGACAATCCTTCAGGATGATAACCCAGAAGAGGCTGAGATATTTACTGTGGAACTCTTTAATCCTGTTGGTAAGATAGAGCAAATTCCATACTATAGTATATTCTAAATTATTGTAATTGATAATGACCTGAGTTCTCTATGTCAAAATTATGTAATTGGTACTTCCAAAGACTCTGACATGACTGTATCTTAAAGCCAGGCTATGGAGGAAAAGAAAAATGGATATGTTGTACAACTGATTTTTTAAAGACATGAACACCATATTTGACGGAAAACTTGTGAGCAGTTGATGAGGTACAGATTTTTGAATATTTAAAAACTGAGGGAAAAAGGTGGAAAAGGTTTGGTTACGCCCCTTTTTCCACCAGTTTTTAAATATTTTAAAATCTGTATCTCATTAAACTATTTTCTGAGTTTTTTGTCAAATATGCTTTTTGTGTCCTATAAACATATCAAGCAATTGTTTTCCTCAGGAGCCTGGCTTTAATATCACAATGACAATACAGAGTAGAACAATAGAACATTTAAATTGAACAAAATAACAGAATGTAAACATTTGGTATCTACACTTCAATATAGTTTAATGATTGTTTTTTTTCCCCCAATAAATGTATTTCTGTTCTTCTACCTTTATCTTGCAACCTTAATTTAAATAATAAAGTTCATAGTTTTGGAGGACGTAAGTAAAACCAAAAGCTCAATGCATGATTTCTCTGATGACATCACTGATCAAGTTGTTAGTCATCCTTTTGGTTCATCATTTTGGGTGTTTCTGTGATAACCTTTTATTCTTTCTAGCATTTATATACTTTACTCCAGTATTTCTTTTCTTTTCTTTAAATTTATCCTACTTTATACTTTTATAACAAAAAGTATAACAGTTTTTATAACTGAGTTGAACTCAGACTAAAGAAGAAATAATGGATAGAAAAAATATAACAGTATTTTTTCATTTATTTTTGGTGCAAATGGTGCGGGTGATATTTAAGGTGTACAGTAGATCGAATTGTCTAGCAAAGGGAACCATTTGGTAACTAAGAAAAAATTAGATAGAGGAAACAATGTTTGGTGGCTATAGAAAAATTTGATAGAATCATTTGTTAGATGCAAATACATAAAGTTGCAACTACATAAAGATGCAACTACCTAAAGATTTAACTACATAAAGCATTCAAATTTTGTGACAGTATTAATTAGTAATCTTTGGAAGTTATTTCTTATATGGCTTAGAGCAATGTTTACAGTACTTCAGAGGGTAAATAGATCTTCAATGAAGTTAAGTACTTCTAGTATGTTACTGAGTGCTTATCTGTTAATGGTGTACAGTAGGCCCACTTGTAGAGCATGACAGCAGAAATGTAAGGCGCTCTCTCCATTGCTCGCCATCGCACTTAATTAAATCTTCGAAGTCTTTTACCCACCTTCTTCTTAACTCACTTTCCATTCACTCTCACTCAAATACTACATTATCTGTAGTCTTCAGTGGATCTTGAGTTATGAGTAAGCAATTCCTATCAAACTGCAGCTTTAACAATGCTGCTATATGTTAAATGAATTTAAACTTCCGAAAGGTTAAAGTTAATTCTTAAAATATTTAGTTATAAAATATTTGTAGATAGATTAGCGTAATTATACAGAAATTAATAGTAAAATTTATAATAAATATCTTTGCGGTATTATTTTTTTTCAAAAGTGATATCAATCATTGTTGGTTTTCTAGGTGATGTTGTTGTGTATGGTGCACCTGTGGCAACCGTTTCCATAGTTCCAAATGATGATGCAAGCGGTATCTTCAGCTTCAGTCAACCGCTATCGCAGACAGCACAAAGTGAAGGCACAACTGTAGACTTCTTGTAAGTGATTGACTTAGAAATATAGATAGAATTGCCGTAGTGTCATGATGCTGGGCCGGCGGAACGTTTTTCAAAGTAGGGGAGAGTCACTAGAAGATGAATGGGAACACGAATTGCAAAGGAGGTGATCATACAAAAAATGGGGGGCCCCCAGCACCTTGGCTCTGCCAGCCATGTGATGATTCCCGGGGGAATATTTCTATTAACATGAAATAATAAGATAATGCCATGGGCATAGGCTAGCGGGTTGTGGG